CCAGGGTTTGGCCGTCTTAACCCGGACCGTGGTCCAGGTCGTAGCCGCTATAACCAGGGGCGTAGCCGCTATAACCCAGGTCGTGGCCGATATAACCCAGGGTTTGGCCGTCATAACCCGGACCGTGGTCCAGGTCGTAGCCGCTATAACCAGGGGCGTAGCCGCTATAACCCAGGTCGTGGCCGATATAACCCAGGGTTTGGCCGTCATAACCCGGACAGTGGCCCAGGTCGTGGCCGGTATAACCCGGGGCGTAGCCGCTATAACCCAGGTCGTTGCCGATATAACCCAGGGTTTGGCCGTCATAACCCGGACAGTGGCCCAGGTCGTGGCCGGTATAACCCGGGGCGTAGCCGTAGCTGCCATAACCCGGGGCGAAGCGGCTAAGTCAGTGGCCGTTATAACCTGATCCACGTACATGGCAGCTACCATAGCAGCCTGGGCTATAGAATACATAGCTGCAACAACGTTGTACAGCTATCAATGTAGCTGCAACAACGTTGTACAGCTATCAATGTAGCTGTAACAACATGGTACAGCTATCAATGTGGTGAGGGGTAGCAGCCTGGGCCATAGAGTACATAGCTGCAACAACGTTGTACAGCTATCAATGTGGTGAGGGGTAGCAGCCTGGGCTTTAGAGTACATAGCTGTAACAACATGGTACAGCTATCAATGTAGCAGCAACAACGTGGTACAGCTATCAATGTGGTGAGGGGTAGCAGCCTGGACCATAGAGTACATAGCAGCAACAACGTGGTACAGCTTTCAATGTGGTGAGGGGTAGCAGCCTGGGCCATAGGGTACATAGCTGCAACAACGTGGTACAGCTTTCAATGTGGTGAAGGGTGTCCCTTCCTCCTGTTTCAACACTTCTGCCTACGCCAGCGCTGACCTAAAAATGTAATCCCCTATAATGGGCTATATTGTTTCACGGTGCAACATAAAATAAACCGGGAGTGATCTCCCCTAAACTTTCTCGAATATTCTAATATAACACTACGGGGGATGGCAACTCGGGATATAGGCCTAGACTTCTAGACATGATTTTTAATCCATTTTAAATACTCACATTTTTTAAAATAGAATATAATCTCGTAGAAAAAAGAAATGCACACCTAGAGAACGCTAAATAAAGATGTGCATAATAGTGCGCAATATTATTAGTACTTGATAAATTTACATGCGTTTTTTGAGAAATCGGAAATAGCGTAAATAAGTACTTCCGGTTAACGGAAATTACTCAAAATTTGACAGAAGGTAGAGAATTAGATCTTTTACTTACATATCAAGTTTCATTTATCTATCTGAAATAGTACTCGTTATAGGCTTTTGAAAAATTCAAAGTAGAAAAAGTACCACTTCCGGTATCGGAAATCGCTCAAAAGTTGATACGGATCTACGATTTTGATAAAATACTTATATATGAAATTTCATCAACCTAGCTGTAACGGTACTCAAGTTATCGTGTTTACATACACACACACACACACACAGACACACACACAGACACACAGACATACGGACAAGATTGCAAAATTATGTTTTTCCGTATCAGTGAGGTGTAAAACGTCGAGATTTGTAAAAATCTTTTTTTTTTTGCACGATTACAATACTTTCTCTATACTTCGTATATACGAGAAAGTAAAAACACCCATCTAAAAAGCACGTCATTAGAAAGATAGCTGCCCAAGGGTAATGTTTCTAATCCACTTGACACCACATATAGGGGTCATCCATAAATGCCGTCACCAGTGGCGTAGCTAGGATTTTTGGGCCCCTATGCAAAAAATGTTAGTGGGCCCCTCAGAGGCGTAGCGACCCTTCCCGGCGAACGGGGACAAACTTTCGATTTGCACCCCCCCCCCCCTCTCAGACTTTCGATTTGCATTCCCCCTCAGACTTTCAATTTGCACGGTAGCTACGCTACTGGCCGTTACGCTTTTTAAAAAAGATTTTTACCCCCCCCCCCTTCCTCCCCTCCATCACATGTTGTCATAAAAAGCCAGACACCCTCCCCCCCCCCCCAGTGTTTCTTCCAGACTTTTTTCTCCGGGGGGGGCACTTGAAATTTTCGGGGGGGGGGGGGTGGTAGACTTTCTTCGGGGGGGGGGCGGACACTGTTAAAAGTATATATTTTCTATATAAATTATATAAATTTCATTTCATTCGGGGGGGGGGGGGGGGCGGTAAAAAAAATTTCGGGAGGGCTTTGCCCCCCCCCCCAAAGAGATACCTGGAAGAAACTCTGCCCCCCCCCCCCCCCCACTAAAATGACTTCACACCTCAGCCTACAACCCTCCTCAAAATTGATGTTGAATTTTTCTTAAAACATTGATATTTTTCCAAAATCTTGTCAGAACTCTGTCAACATAGAGTATTTTGATCAAATCATAATACAATTTATTAAAGCCGTTTTCTAAGACGCGAAATGACGACTAAAACTCGTTTTCTAACATTGCTGTTTAGCGCAATTTCCTTATTATTATTAACTCGTCATTTCTGGATGGACTAGGCATGCTGCCCAGCTTCGCTTAGGCTTTCGAAACGTTGAGAATTTGAATGCTTAATTAATTCGCCCATATAAGGCGCCGGTCAGTCGAGGTCAGTTTTGACCCCCTCATCGTAGACTTTTCGGCCAACCGGCCCCCGTGTTCTGTCGCCCCAAGGCAAGATCCTGCCAAATTTGAAGCGCCTGCGGCGCCGGGAAGTGCCGTATCGGACACCCGACAATCTAGATCTAGATCTAGAATCCTAATAGAATTTTTTTTTTTTAAGTTTAGCCCGAGCAAAATAAAAAAAAAGTACATAAACCAAGTTGACTTGGTGCGTCTCGAACCCGCACCACCTGCGTGGTTTATAGTACACTAACATCTCCCCTATTTAGGCACCTTATAAAATACAGAGAATGAAAGACGTATTTTAAAAACTTAACTTACGCGAATATGCCTATTCTTTCAAATTAATTTTTTTATCCCAAATTAGCCAGTTCCAAACAAAGATTTTGTATAAATAAATTTTATGAGTTTAGGCCGGAAAAATTGTATTGTATACATTTCATAGTGTACGTAGATCTAAATCAAATTTGAATGAAATAGTTCATTTCTATTTTATTGTAAACACGGCAGATGACGTCATTAGTTAATGTATACATAGTGACGTCACAGTTTTATGCGTTCTTTTTCACATATATAAATGCTTTTCCGGTTGCATAAATAATACTGTTTCTCTACATTCGAATACGCCTTTATTTTTTATTTTTCTTCTTTAAATAAAATTGTGGTTATACATTTAAAACATTTAACATATTATTTTCAACAAAAGTCCGTAAAAAGTTCTTCATATATCGCTGCCGATTCTGACGTGATGTCCGGCGAAATTTTTTTGCGGACAGAGAGAGAGAGAGAGAGAGAGATGTGCGAACGTGGGGTTTTATATATTAGGATGGATGTGTGTCCGCAATGGATGGATGTGTGTCCGCAGCTTTAAGTCGTATCTCCTCCTCAACGAAGCAATATCGAGGACTAGTTCCAACAGCAAATATGTTAAGCAAGTTCCGAGGATGATTGTGGGCCAAAATAATTCCCGGAATTCCTTCCTGGATTTCCCGGAAAAGCCAAAAAACCTCAAAAAAAATGCAGTTGTTGGCCCATATCTCGGCAACCAGACCACTTAGCGACTTGAAACATTTACCAATCGATTCCTGCCATAATTTAAAACAATATTATCGAAGAAAGTTTTCAAAAATATCCTTTCGTTCGGTCACAAAAAAATATTTACTATTTTTTAAACTGAGCATCGTGTAGGCCTAGGATGATATTTACTACTTTTTATTTTTAAACTGAGCATCGTGTAGGCCTACTCGTTAAAATAAAACTATTTCCGTTGATATAGGTTAATATAGTTGTATTTTTTTTAGCGCAAAAAAAAAAAAAATATCCTTTCGTTCGGTCACAAAAAAATTAAAAATTTGTTATGGATAACATAAGGAAATTGCGCTTAAATTGTCACTAGACTTTTTATTAACTTGTTTATAATGCAAAAAAAGGGACGTCACACCATTTGAACCCCCTTCCCCCTCATCACACACCGTCACAAAATTACGGATCCCCCTCCCCCCTACGAGTGTGACGTTATTTATGGACGACCCCGTAGTAGAAATACATTTTTTACCAATTGGCCACTTTTTCTTTATTTTAATTTTAAAATGTGTTCAAAACTTAAACATGACACATTTTTAACCATAGCAGTTAGCAACAATGGCGAATCATAACTGAGTGTAATCGACACATAATTAATACCAAAATATAGGCCTATAACATGCAATTTACTGAAGATAATAAAATTAATGATTCATAATGCTCTTAGAATGTGATCAGTGTTTCTTCCCCCCCCCCCCGAAAAATTTCTACCCCTCCCCCCCCCCCCCCGAACGAAATGAAATTTAAATAATTTATATAGAAAATATATACTTTTAATAGTGTCCGCCCCCCCTCCCCCCCGAAGAAAGTTTACCCCCCCCCCCCCCCCCCGAAAATTTCAAGTTCCCCCCCCCCCCCCCCCCCCCCCGGAGAAAAAAGTCTGGAAGAAACACTGGTTGCAAGTCCACTTATCTCATCTATATTTTATGTTTTTAATCAAATAGTTTTCGGTGTAAACTGTTCTAAACTGATCTAAAGAAAAAAATCCAAATGATGTTAATGTATGGTTAAAAGATTGAGTAGGTGCAGGGAGATGCTTTATGGCCACATGCGGCCCGCGTGTTTGACAGTCGCACTTCTCTGATCAAAGGGGACTGGTAAGTTAGGTAAGCAGAACTATTGTTAATTAATTGTTCGGGATCAATGCATAACTAATTATTTTTAAAAATGAATAATATAAGTATTTAAATTAGGAGTTGAATACTTATATCTTATATATTTTATATTGTTTTATTTACAAATGTTGCCCCGATACTAGAATTTATATTTACTCCGTATAATAATAATATTTTTATTTCCGGAAACGCTTTAGAAACGAAAATAAAAATTGGTGTTTGTTCTTAGGTTGGATAGTCATAGTTGAAAAATCTAGTCTAATAAAGTGTATAGATCTACCTAACTGATAGTAAGTTGTAACTACACTAGATTCTTGATCTAGATTCAACATCTAATAGTCTAATACAGTTTAAGTTGAATACTATTAGATTTTTTTTCATAATTTAATTTGGTAATCTATCGTTTTGGGTACGTAAAATCGCCCGCGATTTGTAATGTGAAAAACAGGTGACTCCTTAAATTTTAATAATTATTTCACATTTTGAGGAAGATTTATGTTTTAAAAAATTCAAAAATGTTTCCTTGATTCATTTATGTACCTGTTTTTAAACAATTGAATTAAAAGATTTTTGTAATAAATGAAGACTAGCGATGTTTCCAACAGATGCAACCATGCTCATTTACTATAGCAGCCATCTTGTCTAAGTTTTATTTTTATAAGCTTTTAGCGCCAGATTCAGGGGGAAGCCACTCTATTTTACAAATGGCTGCTGTTTATATAGCAAATCTTGCTCTCAGACACTGCTGTTTAAAGTTAATTTCTGGCCTATATCAATATATTTAGCCATTGATTTAGGTTTATTATTCATTTATCTATAATATTTGACACAAAAGTATGACAATATACTTCTATTAAAGCCTTGACAATGAGGTAACGTTTTCGTACATAAATAGCCGCGGGCGATTTTACGTACCCAAAACGATAGATTACCATTAAAATAAATTACTAGCGGGCCAGGCCCTGCAGTGGCCTCTTGTCACACACTGTCACAGCCTCTGTGAAACCGAAAAACCTAGAATCTAGATCTGTAAAGAACCATGACTTGTGTGTTTAGTAATCAGCATATACCCGGCATTGCCCACCCTAACCACAACAAACCAAAACACAAAAAACCCACGAACATAACACAAGTTTAAACACAATTACAAACACTAACCCAAGCACAATCAAAACACAAAAATATGAAAATGAAAGCAAACAAATCCAAACACAAACTCAAAGAAAACGCAAACATAAACGCAAAGTGCTCACAGTCTAGCCTGGGGCGCCAAATTGCACCATGCTGGGGCGTCTGCAGAACCGCATGTTTCAGCTTAGTAAACGACTAGGCCTATAGATCTAGATCTAGTACCCGAATCAGTGGCGGAACTAGAAAAAAAGGGCCACCCCGCAAAAAATTTTTTTAGGCCCCCCCATATATATATATATATATATATATATACAATAACATAATACGAACATAGGATACTCGTTGCTGTCCTGTTCGAAATTTGAAAAAAAATCAATTAAATAAATTTTCAACATCATGTCATGTGTGTAAGTGCATTAGCGTGTTTTGTGAAAAACCAGTGTTATTTATTTTTAATAGAAGCCCTCGTAGAAACTTGTCGGTCAAAATAATATAAAACATGAAAGCTTTGTATAAGTAATGGTGTCTCGTGTTACGTTTATTTTTATGTTTTTTTTTGTAGTTATATTATTAATGTTTTAAATATTATTGATTTAATACATTTCAATATATTTCCTTTTTATACAATATTATTCTTTAGTAATTACTTATAAAAAATTAATAATTAAGAGAAGTAATTGCTTTTTAATTTGTTTAGTACAAATCTATTAAAAGGAGCTTATGATCACCCCTATTTGACTATTTTTTTAAAAAAAGGGAAATAAGTCATGGTTTGAACATTTGCTTATCTTTGATAAGTTTAATTGTAGGAAAAAGACTCGGCTTTCAAAGTTGTTTAAAAAACAAAGGGAAAAAGAAGATACAAGAGCGTGGGGTGGTGTCTCTAGAATAAAGATAATCCAACCGCAGCTACGGTAATTTTTTTACAAAACAACCATCAAGTCAAAAATGAAAGAAAATTTACTTTTTTTAAAACTATTTTAAACTATAAAAAAATTTATTATGGTCGGCTCTGGGCCCCTAAATGGCGTGCCCCCCCCCCCCCCCCGCATTGCGGGGTCTGGCGGCACTGTAGTTCCGCCCCTGACCCGAATAAAGATGTCTTTTTTATGTCAACTGTCTTTGATTAAAAATAATAATTAGCCTACTAACTAAACAATATGTTCAGTGTATAAAATAAATAAAAGGCAGTATTTAAAATACCACATTGCACTTGATTAATCCACACTAATTAGTAATTAGGCCCTATGTAGTTATTTTTTTCCCAAACACCAAAACAAAGTAATAAAAAGTAAATCCCCCCCCCCATGTGTGATGTTTTTTTTAAAGGGAAGTAATTGTGTTTTCCTAATTTATCAAGGAACGTAATTAGTACTAAAAGACTAAATATTTTTTCAGAAACAATTTGAATTTTTGTAAAGTGTGAAACATTTTCTTTAATTTTTTTAATGCTCATGTCGTCAATTAACACTTGCAGTTAGAAAAATGAAAATTGTTTTATAACACTTTCATTATTCATTTTTCTTATATTCCTTTGCAATCAAGTCAAGGGTCCGCAGTCACATAATTGAACTTTAGGCCTATATATTAGATTGATTTATTTAATTTTAATGGTAATCTCATAAATCTATCAAGTTAGTATTAAAACTTTTCAGTAATAAATAAAGACTAGCAATTTTTTCATCAGATGCAACCAAGCTCATTTACTTTAACTTTAGCAGCTATCTTATTGAAATTTTTTTGGTAAAATTATAGTTTGAGATTCAGGGGAAACTGCTTTAATTTACAGATGGCCGCTGTGTTTATATAGCAAATCTTGCTCGCAAACACTGCTGTTTAAAGTTAATTTCTGGCCTATATTGGTATAGTTAGCCATTGATTTTGGATTAGTTTATTATTCAGTTATCTATTATATTTGACACAAATATATCACAATATAGGGCCTACTAATTATATTTCTATTAACCTTAACAATGAAGCAACTTTTTCTCACATTACTAGCCTCTGCTGATTTTACACACCTAAAATGATAGATTACCAATTATATCTTATTAAGGAGGAGAGCTAGGGCCTACTACAGTAGGTTGTTGGAACACTGGATTCACAAACTTTGTCTAGTGAGTCTAGTCTAGGCTCTGACTGCTAGAGTATTCTAGACTTGGCATAGATCTAGAGTCTCTAGTGTAATAGTAGTACAAGTGAAGACCTGATCCAAATTCTAGACATTATCTAAATTTAGTCAGTACAGTTTTAAGTTTTTATAAGTTCAGTGGTGAAAGTCATGTGCCTATGGAGTCTGAGTTATGCACATGAGTTGTTTATTGTTTGTACATAATATCTGCCTTATAGTCTCTATTCTAATTGTCAAGTAGCAAAAAATTAAAAGTAGATCTAGAATCTAGTAATAACATGATTAGGTATACCTAATAGAGTTTTATAGACTTCCAAAAATAGGTGCAACTATGTGATTAACCAGAAATTTGAAATCACTGTGTACGCCTTTTTTTCTTCTAGTAGAGCAAAGACCATTTACTATTTGTTTTATACATATATAATTAGAAGCTGTTTATAGTTTAAATCTGCTGTTTGGTCAAACTATGTTCTCAAAATGTTATAAATAAATGATTAAATGGTACAAGTTAATCAGGCTAGTTTGTTGAGTGACATAAACTATAATAAACTCTAATTTTATTCAGTCTCATCCTCATTTGAAATTTTAAACATTTTGTTTTAAGAAGGACTAAAATATAGAGATTTGAGTGTTATTAATGTTATAGTTATATTTAGTTGAGTATTATTTACCTTACTAGACTCAATGATACCTGATAGAAATTCTAATGGGTTAGGTTTTTCAATTTTTGAGTTTCCAAAATAAAACAGTGAGAAAATAGTTCACCTTAGTCTAGAGTGTATTGAAAATCATCAATTGTAATTACTAGAAATAAATTTTTTTTTTTTAGAACTAGTCGTACTTGCTCATAGTGAGTGAAAGCAATCTTTCAAGAATGGGGTCTAAAAAACATAAGGAGAAAGATCGTGAAAGTAAGAAGAAACGGAAACATCGCTCCAGATCTAGATCACGTTCCAGGGAGAAAAAGAGAAGACATCGTGATAGGTCAAGGTCCCATGAACGAGAATCTGCCATGTTCCTGCAGAAAGACCATGGCTACACAGAAGAAAGAAATGATGATCGTGCACAGAATTATGACTACAGTCAAGGTGACACCCGTGATCGCAGGGACCGCTCATCTGGTGATTTTGTCTTTACTTTCTTTTATTTTCAATCATTTTAGTGGAATCTTACATTTGTCTTTATTTTGTCTAACATTTCTAACCTTTACTTCAGCTTTTGAATCAAAGGAAGAGAGCCACAGTGTTCAAGCCTCTGGCGATGGATCCAGTTTAAGCATTGAAGAAACAAAGTAAGTCTTTTGTTTCACTAAAGTCATGTCTTGTTCTCTTCTTGCCAGTATTACTAAACAAGGTTGTCAAGCACCTCTACCTCATTCTTAAAACTGTTTTTTTTTTCCTCAAATCAAGATAAACCTCCTGAATAGCTGTAGTTCTACAACAATAGATAGAGCAATTACCATTAAATCAAATTTCATTTTAAGTGTTGTTCCCAACTACCAGTTTTGTGATGTAACCGTTTGTTATTGACACAAGAGTTTCATCAATCTAGTGAGATGTAATAATGAGCCATGTTGTCTGTATACAACAGGTGCCTTCACTTAATGTCTATAAATTTGAATATTTAGCTCAGCATCATCATTTACTAAATAAGTACTGATTACTTGCATTGTTATTAACTATAGTAACATGAGAAATTTCTTAAAATTCCGTTTTTGGTATCATATTATTAAAATGGTTGTTTCATTTTATTTCAGTCGTCTTCTGTTTTTGGTATCACATGATTAAAATTGTTGTTTCATTTTATTTCAGTCGTCTTCTGTTTTTGGTATCATATTATTAAAATGGTTGTTTCATTTTATTTCAGTCGTCTTCCGTTTTTGGTATCATATTATTAAAATGGTTGTTTCATTTTATTTCAGTCGTCTTCGGGCAAAACTTGGCCTCAAGCCTTTGGATGTTCCTGACAAAAGAGGTAAAGTTGTTTGACTTAGGTTTATGTTAGTTCTGTTTATGTAGCAACACTTATATCTAAAACTTGTTTTCATTGAATAAATCTGGTCCGGTTACAGGGCTTATCATATCTGTGTAATTGTTTTTATTTTCTAGGTTCAGAAGAGGGAGACAAAACAAAAAAGATAGAAGGAGTTCACGTCCCTGCTATCAATTTGGGGCAACAGAGAAAGACTGAAGCACTGAGGGAGAAAATGACTGTTAAAAAAACCCAGCGTGAGATGGAAAAGAAACTACAGTAATTTTTGTTGAATTCCTATTTGACACAAGTTTAATTTCTTAAATAGGTCGTTAACTAACACTTTCAACACAATTTCAAAGTAAAACAAATGACAACTGGTTTCTTTCAAAATTTTAATGGCATAACAATGTATAATGATTGAAAGTTGAGATTTCCAGCCAGTGAGTTAAAATGTGACTGATGCTTTGTCCCCACCAGGAAGATAAAAGGCCTGGGTGACAGTGATTCAGGTGATGAAGGGGCGTCTGCTTGGGTCTTGAAGAGCAGGAAGTTACAACAGGAAAAAGAAATGGCTGAAAAGAGAGTAAGTAATTTGTTTAATTGTAAATTAATGTAAACATTCATTATGTTTTATTTTACAGTAGTTAAAGTTATTTTATTCAATTGTTGCTGTAGTATCAGTTGTTGTATTTCAGGCCAAAATGCTGGAAGAAATGGATGAAGACTTTGGAATTGGGAACCTTGTTGAACAGGAATTCAAAAAAGATAAGGCAAGAATATGTTACACTATTAATGATATAAAAACAAGATTATGCCTGATTCTGCTATTTCACAAATTTTTTCCCCCACAATTTTTGTTTAAGTAAAATATCACTAAAAGTATGATTATCTTTGTTAACCAACAGCGTTACACCTCTCAAGATCTCAGTGGACTTACAGTTGAGCACGCCTTAGACAAATTTGATGAAGGAAGAAATGTCATATTGACCCTCAAAGACAAAGGTCAGTCTCTGTACATTGTATCATTGTAGTGAATGAAGGGTGACCGTATTGCTGCTTCTTGTGAAGAAATTTAGCTGTGTTGTTGAGTTGACATCACAACAATGAAAAAGTTGTATCCTCTTGCAAGTCAGCATTATCCAGCACACAATCACAGCGTAGTTTATATAATAATTTGAAAACCTTTTTAAAATTTATTTACAGGTGTTTTAGATGAGGAAGATGGTGATGTGTTGGTCAATGTAAATATAGAAGATGATGAACGAGCTCAGAAAAACACTGAAAACAAGAAACAAAAACCAGATTATAAGCCATATGATGAACCAGAGTATGATGAATATGGAATGGTACATTTTATTTTTAACACACTACATTCATTAAGAAATTTAACTGTAAATATTCTTTAACTGTTAGTATTGAGATGCTTAAAATCAATCACTGTATGTTTGTTAATAATAGTTTATGTTTCAAGTTAATTGCAATTCGAGTGTAATAATAAAAATATTTTTCCTTTTGTTGAACAGTTGAAACCCAACAATTTATTAGCCAAATATGATGAAGAAATTGAAGGAGCTAAAAAAGATTCTTTTACATTGGGTGAGTTAAAAATTTATCAGCTGCCTGCTTTTATTTTGAAAAAAATTGCCTGATGTGTACATTCTAAATAATGTGCAATAATCTTTGTTGTCCTTATATATTTATGTTGGATTCCTAGAATTGCCTGATGTAACTATTTTCAGCAAATCTGAAAGAATTAAAAATTGAATCAGTTTAATGGTTGAAATGTGCATGAAACTGGTGATTACATTTGATTAAGTCCCCCATATAAACATTAGCTGGGGGAGGAGTTGATAGTTCTGGCTGCCCTGGGGGGAAGGGGTAGTGATGGTTCTGGCTGGCAGCACAAGGAACACAATTGAAGTTGGTTGCTAATTTTGATGCTTCACAAATTAGCAACCACCTTCAACTTGGCTTCTTGAGTATCTTCTTTCAGGGTATTTGTTTTTTTACACCATGTAAGGATTGAGTGCAGAACTACACTGTCTAAAGTGGCTGCTGGTGATGGTCTCCACTAGCTGTTGGCAAGAAGGCATGATAGAGCTGAAAGGGGTTGCTAAACATTGCAAGTGTTCTAACAGCACCTTTCAACATTGTCACAGCCTAGATCAGGAGTTATTCCCCCCACCCCTCAGGAGTTATCCCCCACCCACCCCTCAACACTTTCACAGCCTAGATCAGGAGTTATTCCCCCCACCCCTCAGGAGTTATTCCCCCACTCACCCCTCAACACTATCACAGCCTAAATCAGGAGTTATCCCCCCCCCCCCACCTTTCAACACTGTCACAGCCTAGATCAGAAGTCATCTCTTTCCCCCCCACCCCCCACACCCATTTTAACACTGTCACAGCCTAGATCAATTGTTATTCCCCCCACAGGTTCTGGAGGCCACTATGATGCAGCTCATGAGAAACGTATGGCAGAGATCAGACAGCAACTGAGGGCGCAGGGAGTGAGTAGCTTCAACTTGTAAAAGCTAAATTAATTTATTAGTTAAATATGTGAAATATATGTCTAAAATATCTTGTGTGGGCACATTTATGTAAAATGTACTTAGTGTATAGGACAGCTGTACATGTTGTGCCAGCCAAAAACTCATGTAGTACTCATTCATCTTTCTTTCAGCAATCTCTACAGTTGGCCCCACCCACACTACTGACAGAGTATATGACACCAGAAGAAATGGCAAGTTAGATTTTTCTTGTAGCGCTCCTCCTTCTCTAAGTGTAAAGCCTAATTCTGAAATGAAGAAGTTCAGTCTTTCATCCTTCTCTAAGTGCAAAGCCTGAATCTGAAATGAAGAAGTTCAGACTTAATTTAAAGTTTTATAATGTAAGAAAATAATTACACCCTGAAGATTTGACTCTTGGTTTTATCTGATGTAGGAGGCCTCCACATTTAAAAAGATCAAGAAGAAAGTGCGTAAGATCAGAAAGAAGGAAATACTCAAAGCAGATGACCTTCTGCCACTTCCAGAAGAAGTAGTCACAAAAGAAGACTATGGCTCACGGTAATCTAGGCCAAAAAAATAGTTTTAAAACACCTTTTTTGGACAGCTACTTAAATCATATTTCTTAATGTATAAGTTATTAAAATTTCTTATTGTTTTTTTTTTTAGATCCAGAGGCAGAGGTCGTGTTGACCCAGAAGATGGAGAAGTATCCAATGAAGGAGAGGAGTCAAAAGTAAAGATGGAGGTAGACACTGACCCCACGACCCGTGTCAAACCTGACCCATCAGCTGCTCCTGTTAAAATTGAAATTGATGACTGTAAGTCAAGTGACTGTTTGTGTCCATGTCTTGTCCTACTAGTGTGTATGTCTGTGAACTTTGACCTATAACTGTTCTCTGTAGCTGACATGTTGGAACCAGATGAGGACCTCACAGGTGTGGTTGTAGAGGAGGAGGAAGTACAGAATGAGCTGCAGGGCATGTTAGCTCGGGCTCGTAAGCTTAAGCTCAAGAAGGAGAGACAGTCGGCACAAGAAGTAAGACTTTCCTACCCTGTCTGACATTCTAGTTGAGCTTAGTTTTGTTTTAAAGTTTGAAGATGCCATACTTGAAATGTCTTTGATGTGTGCAGATCATCAGAAACATCAAGCCAGAGGAAGAAGAGAAGCACCAGAGAGAGCTGGGGGTGAACATTGTACTCAACTCTACATCAGAGTTCTGTAGGAATCTTGGGGAGATCCCAACCTACGGGTTGGCTGGTAACAGGGAGGAGGACAGGGAGGAGATCATGGTAAGTCCCTGGGGGGGGGGGGGGGGGGGGTCGTCATATAGTGAGGAGATCATGGTAAGTCCCTGGGGGGGGGTCGTCATAGGGAGGAGATCATGGTAAGTCCCTGGGGGGGGGGGGTCGTCATATAGGGAGGAGATCATGGTAAGTCCCTGGGGGTCATAGGGAGGAGATCATGGTAAGTCCCTGGGGGTCGCCATATAGTGTTGAGAAGGGTTTTAACTAACACTGACACATGTATAGAGAAATGTACTAGCTAACAGAACCATTCTCTGCAGGACATGGAGCTGGAGCTGATGGACCACAAAAGGAGGAAAGAGGAGCAAGAAGAGACAACAGGAGGATGGAACGAGGTGGATATTGATGAAAATCCTGTGGATATTCGGGTATGTAGTGTTAGTTTTTTCTTAATTGCTGTCAGTTAGCAACACCTAGACATGTTTACAAGACTTCTCTGAGCCACTACCTGGTTTAGGTAAAGCTAACTCCACCTTTGTTATGTTAATCAAGGTATCCCACCTTTTGTTATGCCTACAATATTGTGATGTCTGTACTGAGAAAAATGTTTTGTCCCAACAGGCACACCTTTGTATCTCACCTTTTGTTATGCCTACAATATTGTGATGTCTGTACTGAGAAAAATGTTTTGTCCCAACAGGCACACCTTTGTATCTCACCTTTTGTTATGCCTACAATATTGTGATGTCTGTACTGAGAAAATGTTTTGTCCCAACAGGCACACCTTTGTATCTCACCTTTTGTTATGCCTACAATATTGTGATGTCTGTACTGAGAAAACTGTTTTGTCCCAACAGGCACACCTTTGTATCTCACCTTTTGTTATGCCTACAATATTGTGATGTCTGTACTGAGAAAATGTTTTGTCTCAACAGGCACACCTTTGTATCTCACCTTTTGTTATGCCTACAATATTGTGATGTCTGTACTGAGAAAATGTTTTGTCCCAACAGGCACACCTTTGTATCTCACCTTTTGTTATGCCTACAATATTGTGATGTCTGTACTGAGAAAAATGTTTTGTCCCAACAGGCACACCTTTGTATCTCACCTTTTGTTATGCCTACAATATTGTGATGTCTGTACTGAGAAAAATGTTTTGTCCCAACAGGCACACCTTTGTATCTCACCTTTGTATCTCACCTTTTGTTATGCTTACAATATTGTGATGTCTGTACTGAGAAAACTGTTTTGTCCCAACAGGCACACCTTTGTATCTCACCTTTTGTTATGCCTACAATATTGTGATGTCTGTACTGAGAAAATGTTTTGTCCCAACAGGCACACCTTTGTATCTCACCTTTTGTTATGCCTACAATATTGTGATGTCTGTACTGAGAAAACTGTTTTGTCCCAACAGGCACACCTTTGTATCTCACCTTTTGTTATGCCTACAATATTGTGATGTCTGTACTGAGAAAAATGTTTTGTCCCAACAGGCACACCTTTGTATCTCACCTTTTGTTATGCTTACAATATTGTGATGTCTGTACTGAGAAAACTGTTTTGTCCCAACAGGCACACCTTTGTATCTCACCTTTGTATCTCACCTTTTGTTATGCCTACAATATTGTGATGTCTGTACTGAGAAAACTGTTTTGTCCCAACAGGCACACCTTTGTATCTCACCTTTTGTTATGCCTACAATATTGTGATGTCTGTACTGAGAAAACTGTTTTGTCCCAACAGGCACACCTTTGTATCTCACCTTTTGTTATGCCTACAATATTGTGATGACTGTACTGAGAAAACTGTTTTGTTCCAACAGGCACACCTTTGTATCTCACCTTTTGTTATGCCTACAATATTGTGATGTCTGTACTGAGAAAAATGTTTTGTTCCAACAGGCACACCTTTGTATCTCACCTTTTGTTATGCCTACAATATTGTGATGTCTGTACTGAGAAAATGTTTTGTCCCAACAGGCACACCTTTGTATCTCACCTTTTGTTATGCTTACAATAGTGTGATGTCTGTACTGAGTAAAATGTTTTGTCCCAACAGGCAGAGGAGGCAGCTGTACTGGAGGAAGAGCCAATAGCAGGGGAGGGTGTTGGTGCTGCCCTAAAGCTGGCCATAAAGAAAGGTTGCTTCAGTTTTCTCAAGATTCTCTTTTTTAAATTGATACATGATATTCTTTGAAAACTTTAGAAAACAAATTATGATTAATCGATGGTGATAATAATTTATGTTTGTTGATTGTTAGGTTATTTGGAGAATGAGAACCCCAAAAAACTTCCCCCCATGTCAACCAAATATCTGGAACTTCAAGCCCAGAACTACACGATACAAGACAAGAGATATGAGTAGGTTCACACTTGACCTCTGTACTGACAATCATTTTAAGTTGGACATGTTTGTTTACATTTGTTAGGGATGACTTAGTTTAAAAAATCATTGGCTGCCCATACATGTCACATGTTGGAGTTCTTCATTTTGTTACAGGCAGTCTGATTGGTTGCATTTTCATTGACAGCAGAATATTTTTAAAATTATCTTTCTTTTGATAGTCACATTTTTAAGCTGCCAGCACTGTTCACTGTTGACATTTTATTTGACAAACTGACTGCTTGTAATCCTGGAGAATTCTGATTTCTGTTGTAAGTTCATTAGAAAACACAAAATCTTGTAGACTTAATGGTAGAAGGTTTTACACGTGCCTTGCCAATGTTCCAGTGATCTGGATGAGAAGAACAGAAAAAGGGACCGCTACCAGGGTGGAATGATCACAGAGTTTAAAGAGAAGGACTCGTACAAGCCAGATGTCAAGCTGGACTATGTGGATGAGAGTGGCAGGAACCTCTGCGCTAAAGAAGCCTTCAGGCAGCTCAGTCACAGGTTCCATGGAAAGGGATCAGGCAAGAAGAAGACAGAAAAACGAAGCAAAAAAGTTGATGAAGAGTTGGTATGTGTGCTCATTACCATTTTTATTGTTACCAATTTCCCTTCTACTAGTGCTGTTTATTGATAAACAAAGTTTCCAATCATTTAGCTTTTTATTTTATTAAGTATTTTCAAAGACCAAGTTGTGTGAAACCTTAGAAAATATGTTAAGAAGTGTTTTTTTATTTGCCGTGTCAACATGTGTTTGACTGCAGTGTTTGTATTGCAGCTGATGAAACGAATGAGCTCCACAGACACACCACTCAACACACTTAGCTTGTTGAAAGACAAACAAAAATCTGAAAAATCTCCGTACATTGTTTTAAGTGGCAGTAAAGGCTTCACATCGTAAGTAACCACAAGACTACACTATTCTGGTTATACAGGCTTAGTTTTGTTAACTTATGTTTTTAGATATATTTATTCAACTTTTTCTACCTTGTCATTTTTCAGAAACACAATAGTGAAGCCATCTTGAGAGGAAGCAAGTTTGTATCAGCGTTGATGTTTTTATTGATGTTCCCTGTAGTCATGATGAAGGTCTGTCAGTGTGTATGTGGACAGCTGGATGGGAGGAGAGACGTGTCATTTGTAGTTTTATTAAATTGTCAAAGAACCTCAGCATCACTTTTTTTTAAATTCTGTGGACAGAAGTTTTTTTTAACTGGTTTTGAAAGTGCAAATAAACTTGAATGTAATCAAATGGTCAGCAGAAGTTGTATCTAAGAACAGCTACAACACTGAACCCAAAGCTAATATCAGACAGAAGTAACTGACTAGATCTAAAACCAGACCAATAGGCCTACTGTATGGAAGGCCAAATATTATGTATACTCATTACTGAATTCATGAGAACTGCCATTTCAACTGATAATGCAGGTATAGTTAATGAGAACTGCCATTTCAACTGATAATGCAGGTATAGTTAATGAGAACTGCCATTTCAACTGATAATGCAGGTATAGTTAATGAGAACTGCCATTTCAACTGATAATGCAGGTATAGTTAATGTGAACTGCCATTTCAACTGATAATGCAGGTATATAGCTAATGAGAACTGCCATTTCAGCTTATAATGCAGGTATAGTTAATGAGAACTGCCATTTCAACTGATAATGCAGGTATAGTTAATGAGAATTGCCATTTCAGCTTATAATGCAGGTATTTAGTTAATGAGAACTGCCATTTCAGCTGATAATGCAGGTATACATGAAGCAAATGTTGGCAGCTAAGTAAACTGAGAAACTACAGAGAACTATTTTGTCAACTATGTTTGAATTTCCATAGTATACATTTTGCACACTGATTTAAAACTTCAAAATTGTTATCCACTAATGTAACTCATTCAAATAAAGAAAACAAAAGACTGCTGGTTTGTTAATGTTTTGGAAGTTATGAAGCTTATGATTTTTATTGCTACTAGTAGTACTAGTGTGTGTGTATCAAAACAAATATTTTTTTTTTTAATTCAATACTACACAAGAACTATTACTTGAAAGGCATGTTAGAATATCACTATTTAAAATGTCCTTAAGTTAACAAATTGATTCATTTTACATCATAAGCAATAAGCGATTAGGTAGCTATTAAAGTTGACATGAAATCTGTTAATGCATTCTGTTTAGCCTTCTCTAAGTGAATCAGTGTTATAACTAAATGTACTGGAGTACGACACATCACCCACTTGTTGATGTGAAACAGATTCTAGAGCGTAACCAGCATCAGACCTGGAGTTGTTCACATGGGGAGGGAGGGGGGTAGTGCAGATAGACCCTAGTGTCAGTCCAATAAACAACACAGTAGCAGAGGCGTAGCGGGGGGTGCGGACCGCACCGGGTGACACCATTTAGGGGGGTGACACCAAGGCAAAAAATAGCAAAATATATAGAGAGAAATGATAATTCCACTTAAGTGATTAATTTGAGTGTTAGTGTTTTAAGAGGAGCAAATCGAAAGTTTGAAGGGGGGGGGGGGTTGCAAATCGAAAATTGAAAGTTTGTCCACGGGAAGGGTCGCTACGCCTCTGGGGGGTGACACCATTAAGTGTCGCACCGGGTAACACCCGGTCTGGCTACGCCAGATGCACAGTAGAAAATAAAATTGTTTCCTATAAGTAGTATAAATAAAGCTGACAAGTAAAACTGACACGGGTCTCGGGTTTATAAGGAAGAAGTGAAAGCAGCTAGAAATATAATTCACTACAGATGTCGCATAAGAGAATTAGCGTATGATCTTCTAATTGACAATAAAAGCTGCATGATTCTCCATTGAAAACGATGATAATGGAAGTTTTGACCATTCGAGCAGTAAAATGGCTTTTTGTGTCAATGGTAGTCTTTAAAATCGCGTAACAGTTGTAAGGTCTCGCTTGTTAACATTCACCCCCCTCTTTGAATGAGACAGCTGTTGCTGAGCATTTAAAGTTGCCCGTACCATTGCTGTAGTCCAGGGGTTCCCAACCTTTTTTTACTCTAGAGCACATTCTAAAATATCGGTAGGGTGGCGGGCACCACCTATTTTAAATCGACAAACTCCTTCCAGAGGCGTAGCCACCCTTCCCGTCACCCGGGGACAAAACTTTCGATTTGCATCCCCCCCCCCCCCCCTCAAACTTTCGATTTCCATTCCCTTCAACCTTTCAATAATGTTTATGAAAAAAATTCCGTCTCTGTCGAATAGTGAAAGGCGGGCACATACGAATCGTTAGGCGGGCGCCATGGCGCCCGCGGGCACGGGGTTGGGAACCCCTGCTGTAGTCTGTCGACGACTCAATATTTTCAAGATTTCAAACTTCTAATGTCCCTTACATGGAGTTACGGGACTTACCGGTACATTCCATAGCGTGAGCTGATTATGGAGGCTTAAGCCACGCATGCGTGTTGCTGCCTAGACTGTCTGGGTTATTAATGCTCTTATGCCATACTACAACAACTGGTGATTAGAACTTGTTGGGTGACTCATTCGCCGATACACACGTCGAGATAGCCAACAAAATACAGCTCGTAAAATGTCATACAAAGCAAAACTCCTGAAATGTCCTACAAACCCGTCCCTAAAATGTCCTACAAACCCATGTCCCTAAAATGTCCTACAACCCCAAGTCTCTAAAATGTCCTACAACCCCAAGTCCCTGAAATGTCCTACAACCCCAAACAAATGTCAAGCGGACGAAACCCTTTTTAGCCAACACTTGTGCCACAACCTCAGACCCGCGGGTTTGTTTTGGTGTTGCCAGATTACACGTGAAAACTTCGTATTCTTTTGTCTCGGTCCCTCAGTGACCGCCCCCTCCCCCAGAAAATGTCCGCCCCCTCTCGAAAATATCAAGTGCCCCCCCCCCCGCCACGGAAAAAAGTCTGGAAGAAACACTGCGATCTCTTCCTCCCCCCCCCCCCCCCCCCCCCACAGCTAAAATATACCGAATCTTAGCAACTCCTCAATGGTTCAAAAACTCAACAATGATCAAATGTTTTTACCGGGGGGGGGGGGGTGTAAATAAACTTAATTTTGCAATGAGTTTTTAAGTAGAAATTCCTGCTGTATTTAAAAATTCAAATATTGGGGCGAAGCAGCAACTCTTTCCACTCCGAGTCCTGCTGTAGGTTGTTTTGTTAGTCAAGGAGAAAATATGACAAAACCCAGTCTATCGCCACCCACACCAAAACCCAGTCTATCACCACCCACACCAAAAACCTAGTCTATCACCACCCACACCAAAAACACAGTCTATCGCCACCCACACCAAAACCCAGTCTATCGCCACCCACACCAAAACCCAGTCTATCGCCACCCACACCAAAACCCAGTCTATCGCCACCCACACCAAAACCCAGTCTATCGCCACCCACACCAAAACCCAGTCTATCACCACCCACACCAAAAACCTAGTCTATCGCCACCCACACCAAAAACCTAGTCTATCGCCACCCACACCAAAACCCAGTCTATGGCCACCCACACCAAAACCCAGTCTATCGCCACCCACACCAAAACCTAGTCTATCGCCACCCACACCAAAACCCAGTCTATGGCCACCCACACCAAAAACCTAGTCTATCGCCACCCACACCAAAAACCTAGTCTATCGCCACCCACACCAAAAACCTAGTCTATCGCCACCCACACCAAAACCCAGTCTATGGCCACCCACACCAAAACCCAGTCTATCACCACCCACACCAAAACCCAATCTATCGCCACCCACACCAAAAACACAGTCTATCGCAACCCACACCAAAAACCTAGTCTATCACCACCCACACCAAAAACACAGTCTATCACCACCCACACCAAAAACCTAGTCTATCACCACCCACACCAAAAACCTAGTCTATCACCACCCACACCAAAAACCTAGTCTATCACCACCCACACCAAAAACCTAGTCTATCCCCACCCACACCAAAACCCAGTCTATCACCACCCACACCAAAAACCTAGTCTATCGCCACCCACACCAAAAACCTAGTCTATCGCCACCCACACCAAAACCCAGTCTATGGCCACCCACACCAAAACCCAGTCTATGGCCACCCACACCAAAACCCAGTCTATGGCCACCCACACCAAAACCCAGTCTATCGCCACCCACACCAAAACCCAGTCTATCACCACCCACACCAAAAACCTAGTCTATCGCCACCCCAAAACCCAGTCTATCACCACCCACACCAAAAACACAGTCTATCGCAACCCACACCAAAAACCTAGTCTATCACCACCCACACCAAAAACACAGTCTATCACCACCCACACCAAAACCCAGTCTATGGCCACCCACACCAAAACCCAGTCTATGGCCACCCACACCAAAACCCAGTCTATGGCCACCCACACCAAAACCCAGTCTATCGCCACCCACACCAAAACCCAGTCTATCACCACCCACACCAAAAACCTAGTCTATCGCCACCCCAAAACCCAGTCTATCACCACCCACACCAAAAACACAGTCTATCGCAACCCACACCAAAAACCTAGTCTATCACCACCCACACCAAAAACACAGTCTATCACCACCCACACCAAAAACCTAGTCTATCACCACCCACACCAAAAACCTAGTCTATCACCACCCACACCAAAAACCTAGTCTATCACCACCCACACCAAAAACCTAGTCTATCCCCACCCACACCAAAACCTAGTCTATCGCCACCCACACCAAAACCCAGTCTATCCCCACCCACACAAAAACCCAGTCTATGGCCACCCACACCAAAACCCAGTCTATCACCACCCACACCAAAACCCAGTCTATCGCCACCCACACCAAAACCCAGTCTATCGCCACCCACACCAAAAACCTAGTCTATCGCCACCCACCCACACCAAAACCCAGTCTATCGCCACCCACCAGATCCCCGCTTTCCGACGACCCCCTACAAAGCCCCGCCTTCGACCACCCCCAACAATCTCTCACCAATCGCCATCTCAGTTTTTACCATGACATCAAACCTCTGGTCCTCGTTAAAACATGTGAGAGGAGAATAAGCCACGCCTCTTCTGTCACTCCCATTGACCATGACGAAGAAATCGGCGTGAAGTTTTGACGAGATTAAACATGACGTCATGAAGCTGCTAGTTGACGCATGTCACGTGCTCTGTAAGACGATTTCAACACGAAAGCCAAAAATTCGCAGCCTTGTGTGCTTCACATTTGGGCTACACAAAACCTAGCAATTTTAAAAGCATTTCACTTGAGCTTCCTCAGCGATTTACATAAGTAGATGTGTTTTAATGAACGATATT